TTCCCTACAGACATAAACCTTTAATAGTGAGCTCAGCTCCTGTGAGAGAATAGGTGGGAAAAGTAAAGTCACATACAGGATATCCAAGAGAACAGTCTGCATATACTTTTAAATGTTTGGTAAAGACATCTTTCATTCAGCAATATTTGATTTACTCAGTTTGTCAAATTATAGCCACAAAAATAAAACTGATAATGTAGCATGCAGCAGAGTCAGTCTTCTCTGTGACTCCTGCTCTGAACAATGCTGCTGTTATTTTCCTGTTTTCTGTGTGGAACTGCATGAAGTTTCACTTGTAAAAAGATGCAACCAAAATAGTCCCATAGATCTATTTTGTCCCTTCTCAAAATATAGGGAAATGGTGGGGAGAAGAGGAAAAAGGAAGGGACGAGAGAGAGTGCGTTTGTGTCTGTGAAGGAGAGAGAGAGAAGGAAATGTCTCCGCAGACAAAGAAATGCAGCACTAGAGAGACAAGCACTAATGAGGAAAAACATCCTCCATGCACATTGTGACGGTGAAGTGTTGGCTTTAGATGTAAACTGGTTGCTCTTGCGCAGTCAACAGTCTATACATAGCAGCTGGCATAGTCTTCATATGAATCTAGAGGAAATAGGACAAGTTAGTCAATGTTCCTAGCACGCATACTGCAAGAGAGCACTGGTGAAGGAACTAGCTAAGGTCATACAGGACTGAAGGGAAAGGTAAAATCTGAGAGTTTTCATACCCTTATTTAAGTATTACAGGTGGTGATTTTTAGTATCAATGAACCATCAAAAGTTGCGGACATTTCACATTTTCAGACTAGGGTTCTTCTAAAACATAGGAGAACTACAAGTAAATAATAAAAGAAATGCTGTGTTGGCTTGCTCTCACTCCCACTTTTTAGATTTGAATAGCAACAGGCTAGTAGAGGTAGAATCACAGAATTATGGAACAGTTTGAGTTGGAAGGGACCTTTGAAGATTATCTAGTCCAAACTCCCATGCCGCAGGCAGGGACAACTTTCACTAGAGATCAGGTTGCTCAGAGCCTCATCCATCCTGACTTTGAACACTTCCAGGCATGGGGCACCCACACCTTCTCTGGGCAACCTGTTCCAGTATCTCACCACCCTAATTGTAAAAAATTTCTTCCTTATGTCCAACCTAAATCTACCCTCTTTCAGTTTAAAACCCTTATCCTGTCATTACAGGTCTTAGCAAAGAGTCTCTCTCCATCTTTCTTAGAAACATCCTTTATATATTGAAAGGCTGCGGGAATGTCTGCCCGGAGCCTTCTCTTCTCCAGGCTGAACTCCAACTTTCTCCAGGCTGAACAACCCCAACTCTCTCAGCCTGTCCTCACAGGAGAGGCATTCCATCCCTCTGATAATTTTTGTGGCCCTCCTCTAGACCCGCTCCAACAGGCTCATGTCTTTCCTGTGCTGAGGGCTTCAGAGTGGGATGCAGGACTCCAGGTGGGGTCTCACCAGAGCAGAGTAGAGGGGTAGAATCATCTCCCTCCACCTGCTGGCCACACTGCTTTGGATGCAGCCCAGGATTGCTTGGCCAGGATACAGTTGGCATTCTGGGCTGTGAGTGCACATTGCAAGCTCTTGTCCAGCTTTTCACCCACCAAGTCCTTCTCAGCAGGGCTGCTCTCAATCCCTTCATCCCCCAGCCTGTACTGCTATCTGGGGTTACCCTGACCCAGGGGCAGGACCCTGCACTTGGCCTTGTTGAACTTCATGAGGGTCACATGGGCCCTGTTTTCAAGCCTGTCAAGGTCTCTCTTATGGCATCCCTCTTTCCTTGAGCTTATCAACTGCACCACACAGTTTGATGTCATCCGCAAACTTGCTGAAGGTGCACTCAACTCCACTGTCTGTGTAACTGATGAAGATATTAAAAAGTATTGGTCCCAGCATGCCTTGAAGGATACCACTTCTTACTGGTTTCCATTGGTTGCTATTGGTAACAGCAATGAACTACGTTATATTGCCTAGACACATTGCTTGCTCTTACCTCACCAACAGCATTTGAGAGAATGTGAACAATTTTCTCATGGGGTGTTGCTACAACACTCTGTCCATTGATTTCAATAATCCGATGGCCAACACGCACACCTCCTCGTTCTGCTATACCTCCTCTCATAAGGCTACAGATCTGGAAGGGAAAGGAGGAATTTATCAGAGTCTGGATAAGGAAGAGAGTCTTTAGATTACCCATTTTTGCCTGTAAACTGCAAATCAACATTTAAACACAGAGGCTTGCAATGAATTCTGAAATGCAATCGATCACCAATTAAAAGTAAAATTTCTTAGTGACAAATAATTACTCAATATTGTCTTCCAAGAGCAGAATAAACTGTCAGAAATGGCTGTATTGTGTGTCACATGTGCGGTGGTTTGGAAAGGAGTGCATGAAGGAACACAGTTTAACAACGTTCAGGATACAGGTGCCTTACAACAAATGATGATCAAGAACCATCTTTTTGTTTTGTGATCATCCAATAGCTTGGTTAGAGATTTGAATGATGCAAATTGAAAACAGCCTCTGCTACAAATTTTTGTTTCTCTAACCTAAAACAGCTTTTATGTTCCTCTGGCTGACTCTAAATTTGTGAAGTAAAGTAAGAGTTGTGTAAGTAGAGTCAAAGAAAAAAAATAACTTTGATTAACTCAGCTTTTGTATCTTAGACTTAACCTATATGAAAAGCTCTGCTTGCTATAAGGGAGAAAATGGCAGCTTCCCTCTTCCCACACTGAAACTTACCCACAAATGGATAAGAAGTGTCATGTATATTAAGGCTTAACTAGAGTGTGTGTAAGCTACTTACAATCCCATTCTGCACACTGAAGCCCAACTGGTATCTGAGGTCTGGTCTCCTGATCAAGACTGTGGTTACTGGAGGACACCTAACTATGTTCAGTTTAACCCGGGCCTGGTTTTTCAAACCCTGTGAAAAGAAATCACCATGAAAAATGCTGGCAAAGATAGAGTCAAACATTTAACATAAGTACTGTGGGAGGAAAATAAAGGGTTAAAATCTTGACATGGGAACAGCCCTGAATAAATAGCTGTTTGTATGCATTGTAACAGAATCTGATCACTGAATGCCAGACACAAGTGAAATGAGTGATAAAATATTGAATTCTTCTTGCCAAGAAGCAGAGTTATTTTAAGAAAACTAGCTTCCTGTAGGCAATTTCTTCATTTGATAACAAAAATAATGTATAAAAAGAATATTAAACAGGTCTGTGCAGCTCACCAAAAAAGCCAATGACTGTGGATGGGAAATCAAATTTTAAATAAGTAGCTAAGACAGTTACAAATAAGTGGCTTCCCTAATAGGACATATTCAAATCTGTCAAGCAAACAGCAGGTCCTGCTGATATCATGCTTGTATGAGCAATGCTCCTAATTCCTGTTCCTCCTCCCTTCTAAATGAGTTGTATCACATTCATCACAAACTTCTTGCTACCAGAAGAAAATTGAAGGAGGAGAATTTATTTTTACAGTGGTAAAACACTGGAACAGATTACCCAGGGAGGTTGTGGAGTATCCAACCCTGGAGTTATTTAAATCCCAGTGGCCACAGCCCTAAGCAACCTGCTCTACTTTGAGCCAAAATGTTGGTCTAGACCAGCTTCAGCAGTAACTACCAGCCTCAGAGACTTGATTGCACGGCTCCATGAAACTCAAGTGTAAAGGTGCAGAAATTGCAATTTCACCCCTTGTACACCTTCAAGTACTCAGGGCTCTTGGAGATTGTTAAGGTATTCTTCTGAAATCCTTCATTCACACAAAGGATTAGCCATAAATGAATATATAAATAAAATCCATGTCAAGAAAGAAATGCTTTGTAAAGAATACAGCAACTTCTAGCTTACTTAATACAACACCTACCAATTCCAGTACCTATTTCTGAATTCCTTTTACATGTGCAATTCACATCTGGGTCCCACTGCAACTAACAGGTATCTGACACTGACTTCAAAAGGTTAATTCTGAAAAATAATTCTTATTGTAGCTAAGGTAATACACTGAAGTCTCTATGTCCAGTTTACTGCCGCTAATTACGTTCAGCTAAACTCCAGATTCAGAAAGTGACTTGAATAACTAAACTGGCATCCTGTCAGGGTGATTTGCCTTAAGGTCCATTTTCTTGTCAGTGCCTTACACCAGATGCAATTATCAGATGGGAAACAGCTGCCCTCACTTCCACACAGTGCTGAGCTCAGCTTGGCTCATTATTGAAGGGTGGCTCCAAGAGAATGGGTGTGTGAACACAAGATGACAAAGCTCGTGGCTGTGGGAACTGCTTTTACTCAATTTTCAGCAGAAAGAAGATCCGGATGCCATTTCTTCCATGACTGTGGACTCCTCCAGTCTGGTGAGGAGTTAGCAGCACAACACACATGCTTAAAGGCCCTTCATCTACTCTATGCAGGTCTTCAAAACAACATAGAAGACAGGGACAAATCAGCCTGTACTAAGCTATGGGTATAATGTTTACTCAAAAGTCTGAGAGGCTTCTGCATCAGCTTTCTACATCCAGGAGGGAATGCAGAGTACTGGAGATGCTCATTTCTACGACGAATTTAGGTGTTAACTTCAGTCATCTGAGTTCAGTCAGGTTACATGCCCTCAACAGAATTGATGTCATTTCACTCTTACTTCCCTGATGAATGTGCAAGTTATTTATACGTATTCCTCAAAGAAAAAGTAATATCATCCCCAACAAATAATTTTCTAATTTTACAGAAAGCACGTGTATTTCAAAACCGGCTAATTTCCAGTATTATGCAGACTAGTAATATATGCTGATCAGAAATAAAATAACTGCATCATTTGACTAATTTATTTGCTTATCTAGTCCCTGAGTCTGCTTCTGATAGTAACCAGCACCAGATGCTTCTGAAAAAGATACAAGTGGCATAATACAATTAAGAAATAACCACCACATATAGAAAGCTTCTTCCAAGCTCTATCAGTTTACAATTGGTTTACGGTCAATTAGTAGCAGAGATTACATCCGTAACACTGAAATTATCTTTTTTGAAATGCTTGCAAGATATTCTTCTTATCTACACAATGTTCTCAACTTTTCATAGGAGTCCCTACAGCACGCTAAAGAAATCTGAAATCTTGAGATATTTCTGCCACATTTAAATGTGTGCTTAGATCACTCAGTGCTATACGTACTTATTACCAGAAGCACTATATGTACAGCTCCAAATGTACGGTTGTGAAGACCTGCAAACATACAGACTATCTTCTCTTTAGAAAGACAAAATAAATGGCTAGCAGTTCCTATGGCAACAGCAGTAAGTACCAATAAGGAAGAGAAAGGACTGCAGAAGCTGGAAACAACAAAGCTGGCTCTTTCTGTTTTGAGAAAGTACAGATGAGCACAATGAAACTCCACCTGAAAAGGCTCACAATCAGAGAAGCATAACTCATAACAGTTTTAGAAGTAAAACTGATTTGGGATAGGAAACAAGTATGGCTAATGTGAAAAGCCTAAATTTGCAGGAAGTTTTGTTCCACTGAACATGGCACAAAAATATTTAATATGGTTTCTTTCTCCTTTCACAAATGTAAGACTTTTTTGCCATGTTTTTAGTATGCTAAGGATATAATTTCTACTTCCTGATTCTAAAATGTCTGCTTCAGGGAGTTACGTGTCTATTACTTATCAGAACTCAGCATTAACGTTTTTGGAAACCAGAATGGGAAGTCTTTATAGCAAACATCTTAGTTCAAGTATTAAGAAACTAATCTGTGGACAAAAAAATTAATGTTTACTTTATAATTTTTTTAAACTTTGAAAATTTACTTTGTAAATGCAAAATTTACTTTGCAATTTAAAAAGGTACAAAATGCAAAAAAAAAAAAAAATTACGTAATACAACTTGTTACCAGAAAGTCGCCTAAATAACTAAGTTTAACAGGCATATTCCTAGAAGTCAGAGAAGGATTTCTGTATAGTACACCACCAGCATTACATTTCGTGTCTACATGTTATGATCTGCAGGAGCTCCGTGGGGCTATTTAGATAAATAACAAAGTCCATATAGCTTCATCTTAAACATTCCCTAGTGATGCATCTTTTCAGCTATTGAAACTCTTGATGTTTAAATACCTATTCCCTTGTATACTACAGCTACCCCAGGCACTGTTCAGTTGACCTGCTGGCTTTATGGAGTCACGTATTTTCTGACAACTAGAATAAAGCTCTTCTAATCAAAATATCCCATTTAGCCAAGTGAAGAGAAACATCACACTTTCAAATAACTTGGGCAAAGTTTCTACAGAGGGTAAGTACATCTTTAATTCAAAGTTTAAAGGTTTTAAAAATAGTTATAAACAACGACAAAAAAGCATCAGCTCTGTTTCAGCCAGATACTAGGAGGCAATTAAACAGCTAATATGGCCTACGACAACATTAGGCACCTGTGCCTCCATTTGTCACATGAAATTTTAAGTGTCTTCAGATGTGTATCTGGTAATATCTTCCTTCTGAACAGAACATTCTCTTGTGGAGTGAATTTCTGCAGAGTCCTTGTCTATACAATAGCACAGCTCACTTTCTGAAAGTCAGAAAATTCTTGTAGCATAATTCCCACTGTAGTTTAAAGATCATGAAATGGAAAGTGCTATACAAACATTTGGTAAGAATTTACTTAAGAGTTCTATACTTTTTGCTCTCCTATTATATAACCCTTTAAAAATGTGTAACTTCCAGAAACATTCACCATACCTTTATAATGCTCTGACATGTTGAGAGTGGTAAACCAACCAAACTGGTCCCATTGATTGACATGATCTGGTCCCCTATGTTCAGCTTCCCAGACTTCTCTGCTGGTCCTCCATGCATCATGTTGGCTATGATAACTGTAGGCAAAATGGATCCCCAGCCAGACTCCACAATCACTACACCTAGGATTTCTCCCTTTTGCTTTTCAATATAAACCTGCATTATAAGAAAAAGTGTTTAAAAAAAATGCTTCTTCACACCTATGGAACTGACAATGCTCCCCCCTCCCGGCCCCCCAACAATCACATACCCCTCCTTATTTGCAACCTGTGCTTCTAATTCAAAGGCAAAACAAAACAAGGTACACATTTTACTACATTCTGTTTGTATTCAAACATGAAATAATACAGATTTTGCTTATCAACTCTACATAATATAGTCTTTTGCTTAGAAACACCCCTCACAACTTATTTCTGCATATGAGCAGTGGAAACTGGAGTGGAAGAGACTCTGGTGCCATGGGCTTCAGTGGACAAAGCTAAACAGGAAGAGATTGCAAGAGTTTGTTATTGTGGATTGGAAAATCACCACCTGTGTGTTGCAGTGGTGCAATGGTTCATCTTTATTAATCAAGCTGCAAATCCCTTCATCAAATACAATCCTTTAAAGTCTGGAATCAGACACTTTCACAAACACCCATGCCTCTACAAATTTTATATTGTTTACTGTGATCTGTTAAATTGTATCACTCTGTTATCTGTTTTAAATCCATTTCATTAACGTACAACGTCAAACATGTCTGAAAATTGTTTGGTAAAAAGATTGCAAACATATGGTAAATCATTTCACTGCTGACAAATTTTGGGTTTGCTGTTTGCCTTTGAAACAGAACTGATGACAAGGTGTCCTACTTGGGAGGATATTCTAGGCCCACTGAGGTAATTTATAGGAAGTATTAATGGTTTTCTGAATTCTGCCAGCATGGGCCTGCAACTGGTACAGAGCAGCTTAATGTTGTTACGGAAAAAATGAGACATACATCTTTGCAGTTTTCAGATTTGGAGAAGTGAATCAGGTCATCATTGTACATGTCCTGGGTATTGAGCAAGTCACTATATTCCTTCTGGCTAAGGTCTTCTGGGTTGATTCCATTTGCCCTCAGAAATTCCTGGTAGGCCACACTAAATGCTTGACCTATGGACTGTGCAATCAGCTGTGCCTGTAGCAGTTCCCACAGAAGAGAAAAGAAAAAAGTGAGACATTCTGATGGTCTTGTCCACTGACACTTTCTCTGTTACAATCACCCTCTAAAATGCATCATCAAAACAAGCTAATGAACCTACAAGTCAAGTTACTGCAATCCAGTTTAAAAATTTTTTGCCTTAAAAATTAAAAGACCCACAAAATGTCAACACGTTCACCTGTGCCACAAATCCAGCTTGGTAAGTAATTATAAATGATAAATATAAATAAAGCCATCCTTTCACAGGTAAGAACTGCTAGTATAAATGTAAAGGTACACCCACTGCAGTGACTGTAGCTTGCACCTAAAATTCTTCCCACATGTGCACGTCCCAGATGGCTCTCTCTTCTAGCAGATGCAATGCCATTCTCTGACAAGCCAGCAGTGAAAATGAAAATGTCTGCTAGAAAACACAATCACATTTAAGAGGGTATTTCCTCCTCTCCTACATCAGTCTCAGATGAAATAGGAAAAGGGCAGCAAGTAGTGACCAGATCCAGGCCTTGAAGTGACTGGAAATGGTCACGCACATCTCTTTCTCCACCCTGCTACCTCCTCCAACCTCCCTTCCCTACATTTCTTGTTCCCCTTCCTCCAGCTCCCATGACCCTGCCAGTTCCCTGCCCCCTTCCTTCTCAGCCTGTTCTTTATGCGCATCCTCTCGCACCTGCAGCTTCCCGTAGCCTTCTCTGCACCTAACGCCACCAGATACAACACTCAGTACACTGCATTGCTCCCGCCATGAGCTGTTCTACATCTGCAGCAGTATGAAAGAAATTGGGCACAAAGCAGACATGGGGAAAGCTCTGTGTCTTGGAAGGTGGGGAATGCTGCTGGAAACAGCAGACCAGAGGGATGCCTCCCTTTGAGGTAGTGAACATGCTTAGTATGAGCCAGGTAATGGAGTGGAGAGGAAAGCACCACAGCATGGTGCAGAGTACTGCTGTGCATAACTGGAGTGATACGCACAGCAAGCACTGTGTAGTGCACAGGAGTTGGCCATGGTGTGTTCTGAAACAGTCCCTTGGAGCACAGTGCTGGCTGTGGTGAAGGGAGGGAAGAGAAGAGGAGAGCTCCACAGCTGACAACATATGCCTGGGGAAGTGCTGGTGATGTACAAATACTGCTGAAGTGTATTTTTATATAGCCTATTCAACTGTATTTATAAAGTCCAGTTTGGTCCCTAATAAAGGAAGGGTTCCCAACCCTGAAGTAAAAAGCTGATTGTATCTTAAAACAACTCAAACTGACACTAAACCTGCCGATGAGAATAGCATGATTGCTGTTGGTGGAAGGGCCAGTATCTAGAGAGGCAGTATTTTACCAATGCTCAGATCAACCCAGTTTTGACAGCAAGAAAATGGGAAAACCCCATCTCCATAGCTCAGTAACCTAGGTGAGGAGATACATGTCTATGAATGTAAAGTCCACATGTATCTTCTCTTCAAGAAGACCAACTCCCATTTAGACAACCAGCATTTGGATGCATCACTAGGTTTCAGCTCATTTGGAGATCTAGCTCTAAATACAGTTGAAAATCTGGTGCTGTCCTCTTTAGATAAGGACTCTTCCAAGCAAAGACACAAGCAGATTCTGGCCAACACCTGCTTGAGGGCTTACAGCTTCTGTGTCAGTTACTGGGTAAATTCTTCTAAATACACAGCTGACCCAGAAGAAAAGGTGACAATGATAGATACATGAGCTTTATAATTAAACAGGCTGTACTTCTACACTGGGTGTACAAAGTCTTTGAAGATGCCTTCTCCTCGCTGCTAACAGGTGCCACAATGTTTCTATTCTAACTCTTTCTTATCATTTAGGTAGCTGAGATAAATTTTGCAAGCTATTTGTGAGCTATACCATGACTAAGGAGAGCTGATATAATCTCCTGAAATTTCTCAGCATGTTTTCACATCACTGAGCGATGCTTTTATTTGATCTACAGTCAAGTACTTTCCAGGCCAATATTTGGTGACATAGGGAGGATCACATCTGACACAAATACGGGCTGATCCCAACAAACAACAGAAAGTAACGTCAGTGATTCCCAAGCGGAAGCATAGACTCCAGCTAGCTAAAGTATTAACAGCAGCCTGGATCATATTCAGCCCACACACGCTGAAGGAAAATCAGCCCTATCCTCTGGCATCTGACAGTTTGATTTTTGCTTCTTCAACTGACCTGTAAGAGAGCTAGCGGTGCCCAAACTTGTGACTAGAAATACAGGAACAGCAAGCTGGCAGCATATCAAGTGATATTAAGCCAAAAAAACATTGGCTACTTTTTTTGTTTTCATACCAGTTTCTTGAAAGGCTTTGCAAAACTGGCTTACATGTTATTTTACAGAAAAAAAATCTGCAATTTTTTATGCTTTCTGTCAAAATTTTGGCAGAGGGTTACTTCTATCAGTGCTCTTGTCCTTACTGTTTAACCTCAGCAGTGGGTCATGTATGTACATTCATCTGCAACCAGATAATTTATCCACACATGGGTTTAGAACAGACTCATTACATAAAATCAGCTCCTTATTCAAGAAAACCTTCCTATCTAGAAGTCCTTGCTGAAACACTTTAGAGTGGAAGACATATGAGGATTTTATAAGAAACTGATCTTTTCACCTTACTTCTCTTAAGTAATACTCTGCTAGTTGGAGGGCTTAGAATTGAGATTTTTTTATTTTCCCAAATTATTAGGGCTAACTTGACTATGATCCTGACAACTACATATCTAGCCACTTGAAGTTGATATGTTTGATTTTACCTTTCAGTTACTGACCTTTAAAAAGTGCATAAAATCAGCAAGTTGTGCACATTGATTGTGAAGACAGGATATCAAGTCCTATATAAGGTAACTTAGTAACCCGCACCATAGACTAAACTTTACTCAGCTGCCTCTCTATTCAGCACACCTTGGGACTGCTGGAATTACCAACTTTCCTTTGCTGGCTTTTTGATATGATGTCAGCAACTACTCCCCAACACAAGTCTCCTCTTTGGGGAAAAAAAAAAAAAATCACCTTTCTAGCATGTATCAATGATCCTTGATGCAATACTTAGGATTAGAATTTCACTAGGAAAATAAGCATCTGTGATGGATTTTCGCTTTCACATGCAAAATCTGAGCTAGTATTTGTAAACTGTGGCAACTGAATCTTCCTCTCATTGTTACTGGGAGGCAGTGAAGGAGCTTAAAAATGGGAATAATTTCTATAAACATAAGTTTAGTGACTAAAATCTCAGGTCCAAATATGTAAACAGAAGGCAAGTTCCTCTGCTTAGATGAAATATTTGGTTGCAGTTAATGAACAAGCAGGATCACTCGCAATGGACTTCAAGTACACCAAAATGTGCTTATAATTCCACGCCTAGGAAATTACAAGACAGAGTAATTCCTTACATCCTCAGACTCAAAGACATGGCAAATCATTTTGTACTGCCTCTTTCCATCTTGGGAAGGGTGAGATGCTTCCACATTGTCCTGGGAGTTAGACCGTGGCATTCGCCTACGAGCCATCAAAACAACTATATTTCCTATATCTGCAATGTAAGAAATGGTCCGCAGGGGATGATCCATCATGGTTTCCTGAGGAATACAAAAAACAACATGAGCAGCTGTTTCAACGAAGCTCTTATTCCACACCTAGTATTATGAAAACAAACAAATGGCAATGTAAGACCTTTGTTAAGTGATGTCTGTCATACCTGCCATGCATGAAGGGAGATGCCAATAGAAAACAAGACCTTCACTACCCAAAAGTAAAGCAAAGTGCAATTTTTACTAATTAAAGTTGTGTTTTCTGTGGAAAAGCACATAAAGACCTCAATATCAGAACCTGAATATGCTGGGCATGTACATGCAAAGGACTATGAACTTCAAATTATCACAACCAAACATTCGGCCTACTCTGGGCACAATCAGTACTTGATACGTCATGGCTTGCAGGAAATGAGCTGACTGCAATTAGCTTACCCACAAATTCTAATCATTTCTACAGTCAGACACACCAGAGTAAGTGCATGTATGACACAGTTCTTGAGCATGGATTTCTTACTAGGAAATCCTGGAGGGAAATAAAAGAGCTAGCACTTTTTGAAGAACAAATTTTGGCAGATGGGTGAAAGTCTATTTCAATAGCCTACTACCACAATAGTGACAAAGGCATCTTTGTCTATACCTGTGTGTCTGCATTCAGTACTTTTATTCTCTGTGTAGAAATGAAGAGATCCACTTCGGTCATGGGTTGAGATTCACCTTCTGGAGCCTGCAAATAAACGGATTAGAGTCAAACAAACCCATTAGGTAACATGCTTACTACTGATGTTAGCTCACGAACAGGGGCGCACTAAGACACAGTCACCAGAACAGCAACGCAAGATAGAGTATTAGACTGCAGAAGCTAAAGATAAACACAAAGATATGGCAACTATATACATATAAGTGAAAGTGAATTGGCTATTATTTGAAAAATTGTTAATCCCATAATCCCAAAGCTTCCTGCTATTTTTTCTGATTCAGTAAAATTACACGTGACTGCAATATGAACTATATAAAGATTTCATGAAAATCAAAGTAAGTCTCCCATTTTCCCCATACTATGAAACCCGCTTTAAAGAAAGTTTTTCATACAAAGCCTAACAGCACCTCTTGCCTGAGGAATTTCTATATGGACTAATAGTGACTGCCAAGATCAATGGAAAAACTGTACCACAGGTGGGTACAGTTTAAACATTTTATAATACACTTCTGGTAAGAAGACCTTCACAGTCAGACAACTTACTATTAAAGCACTAAAGCAATTTACAAGTCATATTTTGTTAACAAAAGCAAATGCTTGTAATTTAAAAAAAATTAGATTTGTTAAAAGATACTTAAAAAGTCCATAAACAAAACTTACTATTAAGATGAGTCAATCTCAGCATATTACTGTGTGTATATACACAATTTTTTTCTTTTTTGCATCCAGCAATTTGACACATCTGTGAATCAAACAAAGCACTCCCATAGAAAGATAAAATAATGAAAAAAAAACCCAGACTTAATTTTAATCTATCATTTTACAGAGTTAAAACCTTTGCCATGTCAGTCCTGTTTCTTTAGTAAGCATTTTGGATACTGCCTGTAACCATTTGATAAATCCAATTTTTACTCTATTTCTAACATGAAATGGCTAATGATAAGCAACAAAAAATGGCCAATCAGGCAACTGATTTCTGAGAAATGTCAACTTGTATGGTGGCTCAGAAACAAATCTTAAAAAAAACCTTGCTGGATGCAGAAAATAAACACACAAAATAAAAAGAAAGGGAAAAAAACGTCCCAGAAAACAAAAGAACAGGAATAACATCAAGCTGATGGAGTTTGTACTGCACCTTCTTCCTGCTTTTGGCTAATTTCTGGGCCATCTGCTTAGCATGGAACAAACAGAGACAGGAGAATAGTTAGAGAATAACTTACAGAGACTCCAAGTCAAGCAGGAATCTGTATGCTAATGTCAGGGCTCACAGACTACTAGCTGTTCTAAATTAGTCCCTGCTTAGACTAATTTCCTCCTTTTCTTTTGGCTTAAAAAAATTAAAAATTTAATGTTTAGTACAATTACTTTAAAAAATTAAAAGAAACTGCACTAGAAGAGTGAGGAAGAACACAAAAAGGTTGGGTTTTTGTTTTGTTTTTTTTTTTCATTTAAAATGTTACTTGCAATAAACAAGGGTGGTGGGGGTGAGATTTCCCTCCCCACTACCCCCCCCCCCCCCCCAAAAAAACCCCCCCCAGCAAAAAAAACCCCACCAGATCTTCCCCTCATTTACAGTAGTGTAAACCATCAGGTTACTTCTTTTGAAGCAACACCAGTATAGGTGAGAGAAGAATCTTAACCATTATTATTCCAGCTTTTTCAGATCTAAAGAATTTAGAATCAAATTTTCTAATGCTCTCAAACTTAAACAGTCTTCAAAAAACAACCCTCCCTAAACCTATGCTACTTTTTCCTGAAAAAGCAAAGTGACAGAAGGTAACTTTCACCTCCATTTTCTCCTCCTGCTGTGCAAATACACTCATACCAATGTTAGCATTGCATAACTGGACAACAGGTTTTCCTGTGACACCTGTACCAAGATATGTACATACTACCACATTTTTTCAGGAAGGCAGTGGAACATGTATTTCAGTTCCACAAACACCTGAAAACAGGTCTCTTGTCACTAAGTAGTTCAATTGATTTACATCCAGAGATATATAAACCTATTGCAACAAACTGATTCCTTACGTACTACTGCCTACAGCAACAATAACAACACAAATAAGCACCATTCTTACAGTCTTGCAATCATTAATTCATACAAAGGTGAACTGAACTTACAGACCTGCTTACGGAAGAGATGCAATACTCACCAGGCTGGCAGATATCCTTTTACCTCTAACAGTAACAGCCTCTTTAGCTAATTAAATTAATTGGTGTTCTTGTGGTGGGAAGGAGGGTTACTATTACAGGCTTCATAGAGATTCATGGCTAACTACTTTTATGAAGAATAAACAGGAGGCCTGAATTACAAGACACATCAAACGTTTTCTACTGATGCTCACAACTTAGATCTGTCAGATTTTGCCTAAACAGATCTGAAAGCAGCTAGTGAAACTTTAGATCATGCTGCTTATTTACAAATATTAATATTCTCACGACAGCTTTTATTCACCTTTTCTCAAACTAAGACATATTTGATAGCCTGGTGATTGCAAACTATTGCAAAAGCAATTAGAACTGCCTCATGCTGCAGGCTCTTCATTACATAAATATTAATTTACACTGGTACTCAGAAATAATATACTCGTCCTGAGTAACAGCTGCCTGCCATACACTGGCCAAGGGGGAGACACTCATGAGATAAAGCATTTAAACTGCTTTCCAAAATCAAGCTCCCCTTCAGACAGTTTCCCCCGCTCTCCAAACTTTTCGGAGTGATGGACCTCACAAAAGAAGAAAAGCACATGCCAAAAGGAAGAAAAAAGGGGAAAAAACCCCTGCACTAGAGGCTTACAATGCAGAATCAAAGACCAATCAAAATATGCTGTCATTTGATTTACTGAAATTCTGCCCTTGCAATGGAAGCATCTGATCTTAGTGCTATTTTAGTTGTTTGAAGAATGACTTTCAAAGATGTCATAAAGCTAAGGTAATGATATGGAACAACCAATTTTAATAAGTGATTTAACACTGCACAGAAATGTCATAAAAGAAGTTATGGTCCATGAAAAAATAAATTAGGATAGTTCTATGCAAGACACTTTACCACACAAATCCTCTTTATCACCACACTATTTTGCTAATTTAGATCAAAAGATTCCTTCTAAATTCTTAGAGAAAACCAGAAACTACCTAATCTAAACAAAATGCTCTTTTTTTAAATTCAGAGTGTAGGTTTTTCATTTAAGGTAAATGAAATGTAACTATGTATCTAGTAGCAAGTTACAAATTATAAATTGTTAAAAACCAGCAAGCTTCCACTTCTGGTACAGGGATGTCAAATACAGTCAACTCATCCTCTACAAAAAATGTACTGCAACTCAGTGAGCACCCAGCTGACACTGTGTAAACAAAATGTGCAGAAGATAAACTATTTCCACATATGGGTTCTGTCTTAAATTACATTCAGTAATTAAATCAGTTATTATCTAAAAATGTTCAAACCTGTCCTACATCTCAAATCTGCTGATGAAAAATAAAAATGAAAGTTAATGTTTAGTTTCCATGTGAAATGTAACAGCACAGATCAGCTGTGAATCGTAACCATGAACATGAACTTTGTTACTGTTACAAGTATTATGGATCCACTCCAGTAAAACGTGAAAAGATATTTCTTTCTATGCTCCCTGATGAAATGAGACTACAGTCTGAAAACGGTGAAATACCTTTTCTATTACTAAAAGTACCTCCTAATGGAAATATGAAATAATTATGTTTGACTAATGCCTTCAAAGCACTGTATTTGTTTTAACTTAGTTGGGCTTCACAGAGATAAATGCCCAAGAAAGAAAACTCCCAACTCTTGTACTTTTAACTGAAGAAATACTTGTTTTAAGAAGCAGCATGGAGAACTGTGCTAAAAGGATGCATTATAGGGATTATTAAACTCAAAAGGAACACACTCATATGGAAGGTATGTATACACAATGGGCCTTAAACAGAGCTATTCCACCCTTTTTAATGCTCTTAACTTCCAAGTCTGCAAATTTTTAGAAGCTCATGCTTAATTCATAACCTTTGTTTCCTGTAACTATAGAGAAATGTTGCACATGCAACACCTAATACTCAGTAAACAAACACGAGTAGAGCACAAGTATGATAGTCATTGTGCAAGCAATATTTTACACGTTTGGGCTAAAGGCTATCTTATGCAGTAATGAATCTGGCAGCATGAACTCCATCTGTCATAATGAATTTCTCACTGAAAATGTTTAGCTTTTACGGCAATCAGCAACAAAACCAGCCAAAATGAACCTTAATAAACCAAAGACCCCAATGTGCAGAGAAATGTATTTACATCGCCTTCTAGCTTTGCCTAGAAGCAGAAAAGCAGTAACTTTCAAAGAAGTGTACAATGTGTTGTGTGCCATGCAGTAAGCCAACAGTTCTCTGAAGTACAGTTTCAGAAAATTATGCACACAAGCTAGGGTTCTATCAGGTCAACAACGCAACTACTTGGGCCTCTACCCTGAGACAAATTTACTACAACCAAGAATATGCATGCCTGCTGATTTATATGGATGCATAAATTACAGGTTTTATGAGTGAAATGAGCTAAACAGACTTCTTCTGTTTTAAGGCATAGCAGTGCTGACACATATCAGAGTCCTCAGAAATAACTTTATTTTGTTAATTAATTTCTCAGAAATAGATTTAGTATCAGAGAAAGATTCTACACTCTTACACCTCATAGACCCGCTTTGAATCAATTCTGTTCCAGTTTTCTCTAAACACGTTGCTCCAATCTTTGTCTATTATGTACTCCCACGCAAGCTTTACCTCCTAGGTGCAAACTTCCTG